GCGATGCACTTGTTTCTAATAGCTTCTTGTTACTACTAGTAAGGCACGTACACACATGTTTCCCTCTGAAATTAGATGATGTCCTCTCTGCCCACGTCGACTGTGCCTCAAGGAGGGCAGCAGGGCGGAGGCGCCTCCTAAATCTTGCAGCGCACATCTGCTCATCCAAAGGATTTCCAGCTGCTTCAAGCTGGAGCCTGAGACCGCAAGACGTCTCTTTTGATGTGTCTACTATGTTTTTACTAGTGGTGCTAATACATGCTCATCTGTTGCTTTTGGTCCCTTGGTCTGGCTGTGTGAACCCAGATGTCTCCAATAGGGTCGGGGTGAAGAAGTTCCATGCGCCGCTGCGCCCCCCCCCCCCGCTGGCCTAAATCGCGTAGGCTCAGAATGCTCGAGGGGTTCGTCAACTTCCTGAGGCGGGACCAGGTGAGGACCTGGGTGAAACAGCTGGTTTGAAGGACTCAGAGTGGTAGACCTGGGATCATCGCATCCACACCGCTATGCGTCGAATGGCTCCCTCACGCGCCAGAATGGCTCCCGGACACCGCCTTCGGTTCCCTTACGTATGGCCGGCCGGCAGTGGGTCCGGTTTGGATTCCCAGTCCTCCCAAAGAAAGAACGAGGCGGAAGGCTTTCGCCGGGATTGCACCAATCTCCGAATCGGGGGGAACATTCTTGTACGAGTGCCCCGAAAAGGAATGATCAAAGTGGTCCAAATTGGTCTGGATAGCTTGCTTGATGCTTTCCCTTTGCTCAAGTTTGCCATGTCCACATGCTTCAAAGGAGTGGTCAAAACCCAATTGAACTACATCGAACTTGAACTCTATTTATAAATATATATACACGGAAGATACACAGTATCTGTGTCTTTTTGAAGGAATCTCACCTGACCGGGCCGTGGTCTCGACCATTCTCCGTGTCACTATGAGCATAACTCATCATTCTTCTCATCCGCCTTTCGACTCATGAGTGTTACGTCATGTTTTTTCCGGTCATGTTACGCCTGTTACGCCGTCGCCAGAGGCTAAGCGCTGCCAAGCCTCAACTGCAGGAGCTTTGGCAGATGCAATCCCAAGAGTTCCGCACTCTGCCACGCGGAGTCCACCTCGCCGCGCAGAGTCCATGAGTCCATTTCCCGTACCGACGATGTGAGCGTAAGAGCATCGGTGTTGGAGGAAAAAGGTGGAACCCTAGGGCTCCAACAAGTGCCTTTTAGATCCTTTTGGGGAGGGGTTGGAGGGTCCAAATAGCTTCTGAGCTACTTGGAGCCCTAGGGGAAAGGATCTCACAATGAGTCTTCTTTCTATATTCTCGGGTCTACAGGAAACTATCTTATCCTCCTCCACGTCAAAATTGCAAAATCGGGTGTGAGGGAAAATAAGGCCTGCCTGTCAGGTGGCTGCCATTCAGTTCGGGGGATGGTGCACTGACATCGCTACAGGTGGTTGGCTTGTTGATCTATGGTTAATAAACAGGATCAAAAAACGGGTATGAGTAAAATTTTGTAAAAAAACTCTTCACCTCTACCAGAATCATTCCCCTCAGCCCTACGAACTTTGGGCACCTTCTATTGCCCAGCATGGTGAGACATACAAACACATTGGTGAGCCGCATCCATTCCCGCCGGCGCCTCTGGAAGATCCCGTCCCCATCGAGCCAACCACCCAGGTCTCGGTCGTTCCCCCTCCACCTGCATCTCCAGGTAGGTCACCTCCTCTAACTCCTGATCGCTGCCACCGGTGGAATTCGGTGCCACACCGGTAAAGGCTGGCGGGCGTCAGTGTGTGCATCCCACGAGCTCGAACCGCATCCGGTGCGTGGGAGTCTTTTTTAGGGTGCTGAAGAAGTGTTGGTCTACTTGTCACTGGGGTGGTCTGCTTTGGAGGTCTGTTGTGTTCCAACAGATTCCAAGAGCATTATCAAGTGGATTGATGGTCAAGTTGAGCGCATGTCTTCTTCACGTTTGATTATAGTCTGTCAGTTGGTCTACTTGTGAGGTTGATAGTCTTGTGAAGGGATGAGTGGTTGGTCTATCTCACAATCACTGTTATATACCTCTCTGGTCTCTCTGATCTAAGTTGACCTTTCACCGAGTTTCATGATTCGAATTTGATGAGTACTAAGGCATTACACCCACTTCAGTCGAAGGATCTGCTGACTTTCTCATGTCGAGGATGGGTGCCTTGGGTGCCTTCCAGCCGGTCTTTGTCCCGGACAGAAACGATCCAACATCGATCTTCGAGCGCCGGCTTCGAGCACCGAGCCGGCCGAGCGCCGGCAGGGCCGCAGGCGGAGCGCCTCCGTCCCACAGTAGTGGCGGAGGAACTCCGGATGGAAACTCGGAGCACTCCTGGGCGCGTCTGGGCGCGTCTTCTACAGTATAGGCACGACCGGGGGGGCTGACGAGATCGGCAGCGGTGTGTTGTTGTGTTCTTTGGCTGTGCAACAAACCCTGACGATGAGAGACTCGACAAGGATGTTCTGAGGATAGAGGGGTTGATGAGTGCTCGTTTTAGCATGTTCTACCACACTCCACATATCATTTGGAGGGCACTCAATGCTTGCTGCAAACATACCACGTATCACGACATTTCATCGGCCGAAACCGTCATGTCATGTTATTTCCCCTGCATCGTATGATGATCCCCTCCGTGAGGCCCAAAAAAGAAAGTAACGCGGCCCGGCCCGGCCTTTCTTCTCAATCGTTATCACACGTTCCACTGCAAATCAACCCATTTCTGCATCCTCCGTCCATTTCCATCCGGAACTTCAACCTCTTCCGGTCCATCCAAGGCGCAACTCTTCATACTCGCTCTGCTGCTGCGCCAGCTCTACAGGGAGTCTGGGCACTGCCATGATCTACGACATACTACGACAACGAGCCGCTCTGGTTCGTCTATACTAGAACGCGACACTTGGGCGCGGCGTGTTGCCTCAAAGAAATCTCACTACTGTACTGATTTTGGGGTGGATCTGAATCTGAGAAAACCGGATGGTTCTCACCCAAGGGGGGATGTACACGAACGGGGGGTTTTGCAACGGGGCAAGAGACTGTGAAGGCCTCCCAAGGCTATGCTATGCGCTGCGCCGCTGGTGGTCTCTGCAGGCTTGTTTGCCACAGCTTGTTGTCTCTGAAATCCACTCGCTTCACAAGTGAATCAAGTGTGGACTCCTGAAGCCTGAGAAGATGCATGGAGCACATCGGAATGGATGTATGTCTGGGAATGTGGGTCTGGTGGATCATTGGGTTCACACGCTGCTCAAAGAGAGCTGCAGCGTGTAGAAAGCCACCCACAGCAGGAGTGGCTGACCTATCCCGACTCTGTCGAGGTGAAATCTGCTCAACTCAACAGCCATGATGAAGATACACCTTACTTTTCAAGAGTCCCAAAACACTCATGACCACGCCTTTGGGTCCACCGGAACCGTTCGGGATCCAAAAACGAACCGATGTTTCCCGATGTTCGTCGATGATCCCCGAGGATCTCCGAAGTTCTTCTGTCAATCTGAGCTCCAACATCTGGCGGCTTCGTCTCCCTTTCTTCCCATCACCAGGTCAACGAGAACTCGAAGCTGGGAACTCCTCAGTCACTGCGTTTCGGCTGAGAAAAAGGGCCCAAATCAAGAATAAGGTCCTATATTTACATGAAACTGACTAGAAGAACATGTGTGGCAGTACACAATGTAGTGTGCTGAAGTGTGCTGGCCCTTCTATGGGTTAAGATCAGAAATCGTTTTGACAAGTGCAATGATCCAATGATCTAGTCTCTGGATTTGGGCCGTTCCAAACACACCAGTCAGGTGCACCCTGAGCAACCAAAACCATTAACTATGCACACTACAAAACCAAAAGAAAACCATGCATTTGATGCATTTTGTGAAACCAAAGCGGAACAAACTCCCGAACCTGCACATCTTCCCTTCTGCAGCCCTGTTTCACACATTTAAGTCACACCCATGAGACGCCGGAATACTGCAGCCAGCACGGCAAAAACAAAGACTTCTCATCAGGTTCCCCCACCCATGGGTTTAACGGTTGAACGGCTCGAATCCCCCGTTCACAACATCTTCCAGCTGTGTTACTGATGGTTTTTACACTACAAGACCCTCTTCCCCAGCTGCCCCAGCTCTTCTCCCAAGGCTCGGTCTCTCACTCGGCCCAAGGTCTTCAGCAGACTCTGCCCACGCTCCGCCAGGGGCACGGCCTCATCGGCCCAAAGGCGCGGATCAGCAGCCTCCCAGCGGATCTGCCGCTCGCGGTGCCATAAGACGCGCGCTAAGGGGTGGCAGAAGTAGCCTGGGACGGTGGGACGTTGGAATTTTGCAGGGACGCGCCTTTTCTGTGGCTTCATCAGGGAAAGAAGAGGCTGTTGAAGCAAACTAGGAGCAATTCTGCAAGAACTGTGGGAGTTTGATTGAATCTTTTGAGCTGGCGGGGGTCCAAACATGTGGAGGGATTGGTGAATGTGCACGGAAAGTTCTACACCTTCATGTTATGATTTCTTGGTTCTGGTGGTGGTGTAAAGCTTGTGGCAAGAACAGGTCATTTTGATAACACACCCCAAAACGACCATGGACATCAAACAAAACACACCTTGTCTCAAAAATCTCCTGACTCCTGCCCGTCCCTACCAGGTCCGTGACCGTCTTGTGCGGAGTTCACATCGCATGACCAACCCACGTTTTGTGGATGACACGTCTCAAATCTTGGAGAAATCATGCTACGAACCACTTGGTCACTTGGACCCCATTGCACCCCCCCAATAGAAATCAAGTCAGCTTGTCCCTAAGCTCCTAACAGGTCCGAGCACACAAGAACTGCATAGAGAAAAGGCATGAAAAGGCTCAAACGATTCAGCTCCCTCCAAGGATCCGTGGGCCCATTGCTTGAAAGGATCCGATCCCCAAGGCTTCCTCAGTTCCGGAAAGATCCGCTGCAGGTCGCGTCGCACCAAAATCGCGTTGAAGAGCTCGACATGGAGCAGCTGGAAGCCTGGAGCTGCCTCCAAGAAGCACTGAAGCGAAGAGCCTGGCAGGTGAAGGGCAGGGGCGTTTCGTTCGCGGCGGACCACGTGGTGGGCCTGGTGGGGCGGGCCTGGATCTGGTGGGAGAGCACGGAGAGCACAGATTCCTTATAAGAAAAGAGCGCTTTTCGGGAGGAACTACAAGAAAACCTCAAACTCAATAGCGAAGTGGGCCTTTGATTGCCTTTGACTTCACCATGCGCATGGAAGATGGAACATATGACAAAATATCCATCATCTGAAAAGCAAACATGTGCGAGACTCTTTCGTCAAGGGCAGGAAACCAAACGGGGTAACGATGTAAAGAATCGAACATCGAATGAAGATTTGTCGTCATGTATGTCTTTGCGAGACCTGAAACATCCTGTTGCGCAACAGGTGGCACCGGAGCTACCTGCACCCACCCGCTCCTGAAAACCGCCAGATCGAAACACCCTGCCTTGGAAGGGTATGATGCGGGACTGGGAGCGGGAGATGGTCCGGTAGAGGAAAGGTGGAGGAATGTGAGGGTTGAAATCGATGTAGAGCAGCTTGGGAGGATTGGACGCCAAAGGTCCCACCCTCAAAACGCTGGAAATCACATCGCAATCGAAGGAGTCCAGATCGATCTTCAGCAAATCCAAGCTTTCAGGATGCCTCCTCAGCAAGCCGGAGGGTATGCGCAGTAGGGACACACTTCCAACAATATCCAACCCTGACAAAAAGGTCCCCCACTCCATTGTTTTGGATTTCCTGCTATATAACTGGCTTCAAGCTTGAGGCTTCCAGGCACTGCTACCACCAGCAATCAGTGGGTGACATCCTGAGTTTTGAATCTATGGCAACTGTTTGTGTGTGCAAGACGCTGCAAGCCCTCGTTGTACCCCCCTGATGAAGGGGCAGGAAAGGGACAGCGTGATTGATCCGTCTCGCTTTTTGGCAGGTATAGCATGACCCAGTTCGCCATGGTTGTTCTGTAGGTCGCTCGAAAAATTTCAGCACCTACCAAAACCAAGCACCCTGACATAGAGGAAAACCATCTCTTCCCTGGTGTCTTTTTCTTCTGGAACTGGTCCCAACCGAGGCTCGGAGCGAATCCATCGAAGAGCTCGGACGCGTTCTCCGGGAAGACGGGGCGCGGCACCACCAGCAAGTCGTCCCGGCCGGCGAAGCGTTCAAAGAGCTGAGGGGGTGGATCTACCTGAGAAGTGGCTCACTCTAGTGCACTCTGGCTGCAAGTGGGAGGCTGGCCTCCTGTTTGTAGGGATGGAGAAAGCGAAAATGACGGATCTGTATGCCCACACTCCTTTGCCGATCGCACACATGATCATTAACGGTATTTTGCGGCACAGGTCTCTCATCTGCGGTATTTTGCAGTCTGGCAGTCTATTGGATTTCAGTGTTGGCTGCCCGCCTCCACGAGGATTCCGCCCCAGCGCGAGCGGTTCTGACCCTCTCGATCCAGCGCGGGCAGCTCGGAGTGGCCCAGCAACAAACAATTGGCGGGGTCCGTGGAGGGGCCACCGCTGCAACGGCCATCCATGGCTCCCAAGTTCAACCTCGGCGGCCGCTGTTGAGGCAAAGAATTCAGAGCAGCGGCTCAAAGAGCGTCGGAACGGAGCTGGCCATTTTTATGAATAGGTGGGCTCACTTGTGGCCATCAACCATTCCTGAGTCAAAAAGACTGTCATGGTGTCGTTGATATTGGCATGGTTTGTTCGTGCTGTAGAATGTTTCGCCAACTTTGAATGCGCACACGAGTGTGAAAAAATGAATTTCCCAAAGGAGAGTCATGTTTGGATGATCTTTGGCGCTGACATTTGCTGACTATTATATATATATATATACACTTATATATATATATGGTACCCCCCAAAAAAAATCCTATGTTCACATCACTTTTGCTGGTATTTGCAATATTCTGTGTCTATTTTGGGTTGCCTTTTGATCCCGTTTTTTTTGGGGGGTACCATATATATATATATATTTGTGCACGTAGGTTGCATGACTTGTTTGTCCACTTTGGAAGGAATGCAGTCAGAATGCGTTCAATGCATTCAGAAGGCATTCCTGCCCAATACCAAGACCAAGATCCAAGATTTGCACAGAAGTCTTGCGGAAAATCTTGGAAATACCAAGACCAAGATCCAAGATTTGCACAGAAGTCTTGTGGAAAATCTTGGAAATACCAAGACCAAGATCCAAGATTTGGAAAATCTTGGAAATACCAAGACCAAGATCCAAGATTTGCACAGAAGTCTTGTGGAAAATCTTGGAAATACCAAGACCAAGATCCAAGATTTGCACAGAAGTCTTGTGGAAAATCTTGGAAATACCAAGATCCAAGATCCAATTCCAAGATTTTCCACAAGACTTCTGTGCAAATCTTGGATCTTGGTCTTGGTATTTCCAAGATTTTCCAAATCTTGGATCTTGGTCTTGGTATTTCCAAGATTTTCCACAAGACTTCTGTGCAAATCTTGGACCTTGGTCTTGGTATTGGGCAGGAATGCATTCTCTGGCATTCTCTGGATTTGTTCCTCATTCAATTCTAATTAACAACTAATTCAACTCTAATTTACTTCTATGAATTTAGTGCGCATACAATTTAGCTAAATTCTAAGTCAATTCTGATTCCAATTTAAAATCACTTGTATTTCTATTTAAATTTGTAAGTTGAGTCTAATTGAAGTCTAATTTAAGTCTATTTAGCTTAACTTCATTGTATAGACAAATTCTATTTGAGTTTATATTTTAATTTACTCATTTCTATGTTAATTCTAAATATGCTTGGCTGTTTTAGATCTAATGGAATTGAAACTTGAATCTAAATTTGAATCTGCAACGTGCTTCTAATTTAACTAGAAAATGATCCTAATTGAACTTTATATAATTGAAATCAAACTGAGGTTGCAAATTAGATCTAGTTCAATTCTAATTGAACTTAGATTCCAATTTAGTTCTAAGTCAATACTGTTCTACTAACCAAGCTCTAGGTAAAACAACTCTAATTCAATTCTACCTTAGTTCTAAGTCAATTTCAATTTAAGTAATGGATTATTATTCAATGTGTTTCTTTCAACTCTAATTTAATTCCAGTCTACTTCTAATTTAGTTCTATTTCATTCTATTTTGGGTTCAATTGTAACTTTGGCTCTTCCAATTTACTAGTAATTACTTTCAAACCTTAATGCCTGTATACGGTTCAGATTCAATTGTTTTACACATCGAATTTTACACTATTGTCATTGCAAATTAGGTTTGGTTTCTATATGTCTAATTTCATCCTATTTTGATTCTAGTTCAATGCACATGGACTTCTAATTCAGTTTTGGTGTCATTCTAGAGAGTGGGTGTTGCTGGTGGTGAATTTAATTCATTTAAGAAAGCACATTCTTCTATATTGGAAAAACTACATAAAATCTCTCATGTTCAAAGTAACACCACTTCTCTAGAAGAAAATGAGAATTTCACTCAAATTAAACTAAATTAAAAAAATACAATATTAGAATTGAATCTGACTTGTATAGCAATGAAGTTAGAATTAGCTTGAAATCAAATTAAAATTAGGCTTGCGTTGAATCCCAAGTAAATTAAATCAAAATATAGTTTACAAATAATTGAAATAGACTCAAATTTGCATTTGAATATACAAAGTAGAGTAGAGTTGAACAGATTTGAATTTAAGTTTCATTAGAATTAGACTGGAACTTAGGGATTGCAATTCTTTGCCTTCTGATTATGATGTACTTGCTCAACTGCATTCAATAAGAGGAGTACAATTCACACCCTAAAAGCAAGACATATGGTTTTGCATGGAGTTGCAATGAATTAGATTACTCCATCCAAGAACTGTTTAGTAAACACATAACCTTATGGATTTGGACATTTTTGTAGTACATAGTTAAATGAACAAATATGCTTACCAACTGCACACCAGCACTCAGAAACATAGGTTTTTTTTTTTTGGGGGGGGGGGGGGGCTAATATATATATATATATGTAATTGTTATATTACATTCGGAAAAGTTCCAAGCGGCATTCGGAAAAGTTCCAAGCGGCTGGCCGGTGTCATATATAGATGGTGAGGATTACTAAGGGATGTGAGTTGGACAGGACGAAGCCCACGAATCAGTGGCCGGATGTTTTCAGTTTCGGCCTCGCGCAATGCCCCCATCCAGCACCAAGGAGATGAACTTCATCTAAGCCCTGCATGGTCTTCATGGATGAATCGTGTGAATCCCAGCTGGCTGCCCGCCCCGCCAAATATGAACTGTAATCAAATGCAGGGGTGGTTGATAGACCCACTACCACGTGTTTTCCATCCAAATATCCAAAAACAATCCGAACTGGCTGGTGGTACACACACGCAAATAATTACTGTGGAATCACACTCTCCCAGCCAGAGTTCGTAATAAATCTTCCATCTCTGGCGCAGTAGTTCTGTGCGAGGAACACTTGGAAGGACAAGGCCTCTCCTGCTGCATCGATCTCCACCAAGGCCTCAAGCACTGTGCGGTGCAGCATCCGAAGCCCCGCCATGTCGAAGGCGTTGGCGAGGGCCGAGCCTTCGGAGGCTTGTCCTCAGCCGAGCCAATGGTCCACCTGAATATTCCGCTAAACATGTAATTGCGCGATATAATCTACATAGTAATAAATATCACAAGGAGATCAGTTGCTATAAAACTCAGAAGCTAGAACAAAACTCACAGCGGAGGGTTGGGCTGCAAAAGATCTGTGTTCTGTAAGTTACAGTGCCCGACCGGAAGTTAGAATGCCTCGCCGGTTTCCAAAGTGTAAGCCGATGGAGCTAGACTAACCCTTACGCGAGTTTACCTCCAAAACTTGCACTTGCACGCACAAAACAGCACATCACCAACGTTTCACAGGAAATTACAAGTGCGTTCTGCATGTCTCACGTTTCGTCACCACAGGCATCTCATGTTTTACATGAAGATGATCTAATTGTTTCCCCTACTTGGGTGACGTGAAATTGGACTTGAAACGTTGAAGCCGCTGCGGGGCACACATTGCAAGCGCAGGTGGCACACATTGCAAGCAGGAAAACGCGCAGGTTGCGCGGGAGCCGGTGATCCAGTTGGCGCGCCAAAGCCACTACTGTCCGAAGACAATAGTGCTGCCCGGTCGCTGGCGCTTGTCTGGCAAATTTTTAACGTCCTAGAAATTGATGCTTTGGCAATGATCTGGACAAATGTCGGACTTTGTTGAGCTACACGGCTGGCATTTTGGAGGTAGCAGTTCACGGCAGCGAGGGCAGAAGATCCACTAGACAAAACGACGAGCGGCCCAGCTTGTGTGCAGAAAGAATATGTTGATATGTTTGGGCGTTGTTCCGCGGGGCGTTTTTCTCTGTGTGCGCGCGCGCATCTCTGTCACAGCCCGTCTCCAGGGGCCTACCATACTCCACCTTTTGCTGCTTCAATTTCCTCTCAATTCATAGACGCCAGAAAAATCACTGCGCGGAGAGTGATTTCCCACCCACGCCAACGAAGCTACCGACATTAGTTGGGAGAGAGTTGGGGCGCCAACTCTTGCGCCTGCATCTGTTCAATCGATCATTGTTTCTGACTTGCCGCCATTCCACGCTGCCCAGGGCCATTGCCCGGTTCAGGTCGTCTTTGCACGAATGGGTTAACGCAACAACTGGGTTGTAAAAAGTTAGTTCACTTTTTGAAGCGCCATGAAACTTGCAAGCTGTTTCTCAAGTGTGAATTGCAGCATCTTCCCACTGCGGTATGCTGCGGACATGGTGTCGGTAGGTCAAAGTCCAAAACGAACGTTTTGTATGAGACTTCCTTCAAAAGTGAAGCAGGCAACAACACATTCTCCCGCGCTGCAGTTTCCACGTCCAACCCCTCAAAACCACAGCCTCCCACGAAAATTGAACCTCGATACCTCTATCACGCACAAAGTACTGTACCTGCCACGAAGAAGCGACGACATGACACCTTCATTTCTTCAGCCAATTTTGCACCACACCACACGATACCATTTTAGCAGAATTTTGTCGCAAAAACTCAGCTTCGAAGCAACCGCCTGACACGCAACGTTTCCACACGTTGCCTCGCTATTCCACACAAATCTGGCACATCATGCGTCCATCCAAACCCCTCTCCAAAGGCTTCGCCCAGTGTCTGCACCATAGCGACTTGCCGCGGACGATTGCGAATGATTGCCGACGGCTGTGGATGGTTGCGCACAGTCGCTACGACAACGAGGCGCGAACAAGGGTCTACCCCCAGACCCCCAGAGTTAAACGAGAAACCCTTCGCTACGCATTCGAGAAAAATCGGTTGGGTTAGGAAAAGAGGTACCGGTATACTGGGTAAAAATAATGGCATGCTTCCAAAAAAACAAGCGCCCGTAGAATAATAGTTGCTCTGGAAGCACTTGAAAAGCGCTAGCCTGTCCAACCCCCCCGGGACAAGCTGCTTCAAAAGAACCGTCAGGTGGAGTTACAACCTGCACAAGTGGCATGAAACATCCATCAACTACGGGACATGAACATATACATAAAATGTAATTGCAAGTCATCACTGCTTCTTTCGGTCAGTGCAATCATCATGTGACAACACCAAAGCACATGTGGGCTGAGTGCTCCAGATGGGTGCGATCGAATCCCGGGCTCCCACACATAGAGTCGGGCATTTTCTTCGCAATCAACACGGCAGCCCAGCACAGACAAAAGCGTAACCCCGGCGCATCTTTCAGTGCTCGAAAATCTCCCCAGATGCGAGTTCCAGGGTTTTGAGCAGGGGCTCACGCAGCAAGGCGTGACAGGCGCCCACTTTGAATGCCACCCAAGGCAACAAAGGCGGTTCTCGCGTGAACGCGCTCCAGTTCAACCGTGGCTGGCACCATGAATGTGAGAGGGGAACTGCTCGTAGCCAGTCTTCCAGTGAATCAGCTGCGAAGAGATCTCCCCGTGTCGCGGCAATCACCGCATAAGAACTGGCCGCGCCGTACTCGTAAAGCCCTCCACCCACAACTGCCTGTGGAGAAAGAACCATGGCAGCAAGGCCTTGGAGTTATTTCTTGAATCAGGCCTGAGGACAAAGCTGGAGTTGATGTTGGCACATACAGACATCAACTCAAGTGACCACCAAGGACTCAACGAAGAATTTGGCCAAGGGGTCAATTGGATACGCCCAGAGAATGACCCGCGCGCCCAAAAACGGAAATGAATTTTGCAAAACGGCATTCTATCTTTCAGTCCGGCACTATGCGCGTATATATATAATGTGTGTGTGGGCGTCTGTCTAATTATTTACGCAAATACAAAACAAAAAACATGCAAAAGTTCCCGAGGGCAGTTGTTCCATCCCATCCAAGTCACCGGGTCATGACAGTGTCATACGGTGTCCCATTGGTCCAAAGGTCCAGCTTTCACCGAGCTTCCTATTCTGCAAACTATTGGAGTCACGTTTTTTCATGCGCCATTCATGGGATGCAGGATAATTCTTGACAATTCTGGTGTGGTCGGTAGAGAACGTCCTGACGTTTGAGACACCCGTCGCATGCTTTGCTCCACGCCGCCCGACTAGAGGCTGCAACCCCAAACCAAAGACGCCTGGGACCCTAAGGGCCGAAGGGCTGAGTGGAATTTGCAACTCATGAAGCTCGCTTCAGAGGGATCAAATGGGCGTGCATTAAAATAGGGAGGCCTCCCAGTTCGACCCTCTGGAAGAAAGGAAGCAAACATGTTTGAACGTCCATTGGTTGGGGCCTCCCCATCAAAAAAGACACTGCGAATGCGATTCCCTTTTGCAAAGGGCGGGGATGGAGGCACAAGCCTCTTCTCCCTTGAAACATCTTCACACCAAGAACCTCTTCAGCTGATTCTGAGGGCTGAGCAAAGCTGAAAGTTCTTATCAACTGGATCGTCTGGCGGTGACCACTCCACCGAATTTTGGATGTTCATCGACACATTATTGTGTGTTTTTTAAACCATCTTGAATGAGGCTCAGTGAGGTCTTTGAGTTTGACAACCACCATCACCCACCCCAAGTCAAAGACTGGCCGAAGTGTCGCCTTTGATTCCCTTCACCCTTCTGCTTCACGCAAACGGCTGCAAAGCTGTCAGGGTAGAACTGCCAGAGCTGGCTGTGAGGTACTTCTGCGGGGAAGTCGGGCGAGTACATCTTCAAGCCCCTGGCCTCTCAAGCCAGAGTCAAAGGACCAGTAATTAGTCGCAGCACCAGTAGTGGTAGTGGCATAGAACTAGCAGTAGTCATAAGAACTATTGCTGCTGGTGTTGTTGCTCAGTAGTAGCACCACCTAGCAGAACTCCAAACTTCGCGTCGCGTGCCTCCAACATGCGCCGATCGACGCGTCGCGCGCTCGTCTCTCAACGCGTTTCGTATAGAGCCTCTCGTCGTCCGCACCTGCCGGTCGAAGCGCTTCCGATGCTCGAGGACCTGTGGAATCACCTCGCCCATGATGGGATCCAAGGACATCAGAAAAGCCTGATAGAAGGTCTCCGCCTGGCGGGTTCCGTGGACACCCGGTCGATGTAGACAGCACACACACACACCCACACACCCGAAGGTTCGGTGGGCGTATCGCACCAGAGCGAGTCGAACAGTACATCCGGTGAAGTTTGTCTTTGAAGCATGTGTTGGACATATCCATGTGTCAAAAAAAATCTCCAACTTGGAGGAACTGAGTTCGAGAGAGATGGCTTGCGTTCACATTGCAATGTACAAAGAGTCATGTATCCCGTGTATCCCTGTGATTTCTTGGGTGGTGGCAGGAGACCTTCTCCATCCCCCAAGACCTATTTCACAGGGCATCAGTGATTCGGACTCTCTCGGGAACCTCGCCTGGCCTGGGTGGACATTGCTGAAATGACGCTGCTGCCGACGTGGATCTCGTTCACGCTTGGCCTCTGGTTTGCTGATGGACCAGAGGAACGAAGTCTGCCTGGTGAGACCAGTTACGACCAGATCCCGAGAAGCACCTCACCAAGCCGTCGTAGCCTACCAGCTAGAGATATACTGTATTACCGTATTGCTGTCAGATCTGTAAGGATCTAGGATGATCCAGGAGTAGTTGGAAAAAGCAATATGGATGGATGATGGAACAGGGCATTCGGGCATTCTCGTCTTTTTTAGGTAGTACAGGATGTTGGTGGATGACGCCATCACATGATTTCAAGCTGCCCATGGGTGGACTTGGGGAAAAAGAAACTTTCGTTAACCAAGCGGCTTGGGGCCGAACATCCCGGGTTTGGGGCCATAATTTGCCCAAAAAAACGCTTGAGAGGACATGCGCCAACCATACTTTTGGGGGCCAACCGCCAACAGCGGAAACTCGTCGCTAACCTTTTCGACCCAAAACCAAGCCGGGAACCTCGCCTGCGCTGGTCCGTTTTCACGCGCCATGTCTCCGGGCGAGGCAAGAGACGGTAGGGGATGTGGCACGCGCCACCGGGGTGACAACGGCGAGGCCTTCCGAGTTCGGTCCTCCAAAACCAACGGTATTTGTTGGCCGGTTCGTGGACCCAAAACCAACAGGTTGGAACACACCTGGAAGGGACAAAAACCTCATCTGCCAAATGGACACAAACCCACTGCTACCCCATCATTCTCTTTCAAACAGGGTTCGGCCAAAACCATGTCTTTCAGAAAACCAATGGTGACCATCCAACAAAGGCATTACGATTGTCACTTCACTTCTCTTGACCTCTGGTTCTCCTTCGTTCCTCCCCTTAACAGACATCGTTCCTCCCCTATCCGCACCTATATCCTCTTGAAGCGAAGACGCTTGGGGATCTCCACCAGGTTCCTGGGATTGGCTTGGAGACAGCTGGAAAGAACGTCGTCTCACTTTCATGATTGATTTCCCTAAGGAGATCCACTGGACGGCAACAAAAAGGAAAAACCCATCTTTGGCGCGCAATAGAACCAGGATTCAATGGCACTCCATAGCTCTTGAAGAGCCCCTGCCCCGCAGAGACCATCCCGTCCGAGGCTTTCTCCAAGATCTCCAGCAGCTGCCACCACTGGTGCCACCAACTCTTGGCCGCGTTGGCAGCGACCAACCAACTCTTGGTGCTGTTGTTTGGAAGCCAACAAAGCCGGAAGCTCCAAGTACAAGTCAACCTCGGGCCGGCAATCAGCTCGATAGAATCATGTGATCTGCATGGGTGCCCCAGAGCGGCTTTTTGAGGAGCCGACAAAGTGAAAAGCAATGAAAACATAACTTGTACAATCCTTGAAGGCATTCAAGAAGCAAGCGTAGGGCTTCCAACCCTTCCTGCACGTTCAAAAGCATCCTCTGCAAGAGTTCGCTCACCTCCCTGCTTAAGGCGCCTCTGGGTATCTCGTACGATCGGCTCAAGACCGCGAACAGCAATCGCTCGCACAAGACCTCCAAGTCGATCGCCTCGCTGCTGGCGAACTCGTCCACCTCACAGGCCTCCGCCTTCGCCGGCGGGCAGAAGATCCGCCGCGCGGACGTGGACGACACCGCACGGCGGTTCCGCGGTGGCGGCGCAGATCCGGAGGCCGAGCAGCGCTGGGGCGGCGGTTCCACGCGGCGGTGCTGGGTGCATGGGATCATGCGGCCGGCGCAACCTGCCACTGGCCATGGAGTGATGGAAGAAAACGGATGGACACATAGAAAGCAAGGGTTTGGTACCTCTGTGGAGCTAGACGGTAGGGTATGGATCGAGGTCTGTGTCTGTGGGTTTTGCAGCTAGGGCTCTACAGTGTTGTTCCGGATGTATCGTGCTTCAACAGCAGGTCAGATTCAAACAAGGCCTCACGGTTCCTAGTATCAGTGTGATTTTGACCTCATGCGTGGCACTTGGCCGTGTTGGTCTTGAAAGCCCTGTCCAACGAAAAGGTGGATAACGCAGCAAGTTCTACCCAACCGCCGCGCAAACTAGGGAACGACGCCACCAGGCGCCTGGTCTTGTCGGCAAATCAGTCATCACGCCCTCAGTCACCCTCCAGCGCACGCGTGCGCACCCTATTTTCGCCACTTGCCAGAACTACTTCGTGTTCCACATTTTGGAGAGTGCTTTAACGTTCTCCTGAGGTGATCCATGCATCTTGTCACGTCGAAATACCCACGGCCACACACGCATCTCCAGCTTCGCTGAGTGCGTGGCCTTCACACCCTTTCCTTGCTTGTTGTTGGCTGCTTGTGGCAGCCAACTTTTCAAGCTCTTCCGAAGCGCGCTCAACAGAGGCACGCTCGCGTAGCATCGACATGGTGCCCCCCGGCAAGAGTCATTTGGAAAAACAACTACGCTGAAACTAAAGGTGGCAAACCTTTACCACTCTCCAAGTGATGTTTTCAAACTGCTAACCACAAGCCCACAAAAATCTGAGTATACAGTCCGTCAAACCTTGAAAATCCAAACACCAACGGTCCTGGTCCAAAACCATTTCGATGGTCAAGCCAACCAAAGGATCCCCACTACGAACTTTACACCAAACTAAAGTCAAGTCGTCCAGATAACCCGGGTGAACACGAAACCAAGGTCGAAGAATCAGGGGTACCTTGTCTATGTCCACAAAACCACCAACCGCAACAAAAGAACCAACGAACCGCGCCAAAAAAAAGAAACAAAGGTTCCGGCACGTCTTGACTGAGCCCCAAAAAGCATGCGTGTGGCCAAAACGAGTGTCTAACCGAGTCTAACCGCAAGAGGACAAACCCAAGTATATAGCACGCTACGCAACAGGTGCTAATTAGCTCCAGCCCCACCCCAAACACCCCATGTCAACACATTCAAACGCAGCGCGGTGTCGTTTAGAACGTGAAAAACAACGAAAACACCGGGCGCCTCGCAGCGACGCTGGCAACTACTAGTTACTGTTGATGATTGATGACTTTAAAGAACCCAAACCTGCATATCTGCGTAATTATTGTGAATTACAGGGAGTCTTATTCGGAGCGACCGTCAACATCATTGTTTAATCCGGAGCGACCGAGCTGTGGACGTGTGCAATCCTGCCCCACCCCGACCAATCCATCCAGCCTCGGCAGGTGATCTGCTTTTGGATCAACTGAAGGTCACCGTGGCACCATGGTTGCTTAAATTGATCGCAGCTACATCCGATGGTCAGCTGTCAGCTGTGAATGGTGGGCTTGCAGTTTAGGGGGGTAGGTTAAAATATACAGTAGATGCACTGGGTCAGTGGGTCTAACGTTGCATCTAGAAGCCCATGGTTTACATGTGTTTGATCTGAAACGGTGTTTGCTTTGCCTGAGAGCTCCCGTTTGCCCGACGGGTTTTGGATGGTTTGGGACCTGTCCCTTGTAGCTTGGTGAATTCTAGATGAAAATGAACAAGTCGATGTATTGATGATGATATTGATATTGATGATCTTGTTGTATCATGGTATCAAACATCAGCTTCCCGAAAGTCGGTGACGTCAGCATATTAGCATATCCTGTTCGCGTCTTCTTTCTTCTGAGCAGGTCCTGCGTTCTGCTCCAGTTTGACTCTTCTTGCCCAGGTCTTTCTCGGAGAGGGACAGCCTTGCGCTTGCTCCGTGTACCTACAACGGGCTGTTGCTCGTCAGGGTTGGCCAAATTGAGGGGATGCATTTCTCTTCTTGAACGATCTTGTTCAGCTTTTCCGTGCCGGGAGTGCTGATTTCCGGTCATCGTGGGACTCGGGAGCCTGATTGTGTCATCCTCTCATCATGGCTGATGCGTGACGTTGCCAGAAGCTTGAGTAACACGGCAATGAATCCACCAACTCTCCAAATGTGTGATCAACATGGATCAGCAAGCCTCCCCAAAGCAGTTACTGTATCTGTGTAAGATTAGATCCACGAGCTGTCATGTCCATTCAAGAGCGGGTTCGCGGGTTGATGGTCCAAAAAATCGGTTCCTTGTGGGGAGATTGCCTAGGATTTGATTGACGAAGGTCAAATTTGGACAAGCTACCAGTAACATGGTGTGATGCTCCACATCTATCCCTGAATCCCTGATGATAGTGTCTGACCAGACTGACATTGTGGATATGGAAAATCGATAAAAGCTTGATGACCCTGACCTTCCTGAAAAAAATCGCAATTGTAGACGTGATACTGTGTAGACATGTGTAGATCCAAAAAAGCAATGATATGCCATGATTGCCACCCCGTCCCACAGCACTTGTTGACCAATGCTCTGTGATCTTGGTATTGAAAACTGGGCGAAACGGCACCTTCAGGCGTCTACCCGCCGAAAGAGGGCGAATTCATGGCAACTGTCGAGAGTTCAAGTCTCTCTGCAGAAGAACATGACGCAGCTTAAGCTCCAAACTGCACGAGAAAAACAGGTGTATATATATTATGTATATATATATATTACTTGCAGTCTTTTGCGACAAAAAGAACAAGAGTGTCGTCGTGTCGTTGTTGTTTTGAGGTAGTTTACTGTGATCGTACTAAAACTATACCAAGCGCCAAGAGATGTCTTGTCCAGACTCGTGATCCAAGTCTCATGGGAGGCAGGGTTGGTCTCAGTTTCGCTCACTGGTGACTCTCATAGTCTAGGCCACTGCCATACTTCCAAGCCTCAAACCTCCGGCGCCACGCGAAACGCTCGCGCGGCGGCATGGCCGTGGCGTCGTCGATGCGCAGCACAGTGGAGATGACCGGCTCCAGCGAGGAGAGGACGGTGTAGAAGGCCAGGCCGCTGAGATGTCCCAGGGCAGAAAGAACATTTTCCTTGTCGGAACACCACCGAAAATCTATCACTGGAGTTCCAGTGCGTTGACGACTAAATAACTGGCCACAAAAAACAAAAGCATGGGTAGACGCAACTCGATAGAGGGCAAGTCTGGCTGTTGCGCACGTGTTTCAACGAAGGGATTTCTTTGAAGTTCTTGGAAAATCTTGGAAACATGATTAAAATAGCTAAACTCAAAAAAAAAAAAAGCACTTCTGGTCGTAGGCTGCGGAAACAGTCGTATACTACAAAGCTGCAACGACAGTCGGACAAACGACATGTCTATTTCCACAACACAAGAGAAAGATCTGATGAGGTCAAACATACAGCGACCTGGGGTTGGTCTGCAACCCAAGAGTTGTAAACGACCTGGAGCGACCATGTGATCCAACAGGTTTTCTTTGGGCATCGCGGCATCGCGGAGCCAAAAGCACCAAGCTAGAAACTATGGTTCTACTTTGGTGCAAAGGAATCCACTGGGTTCTGTTGTCACTCACTGCTGGGTCAAGGATGGTCAGGGGTCAAAACAAACATGTAACTAGTTGTTCAACTGCGACCTGTTCAACCGCAAAGCCTGGCAAAACCCATTCCCTTTACCACCAGTTTCTAGGAGGACAAGGGATTTTTAAGCCAATGAACCCATCACGAGCCGAACCCAAAAAAAAAATCTGGCAACATTGGCAACTCAAGCGAATCGTTTGAAGGCAAGCACACAAACTCACAGCAGCCAGCCAAGTCTAGCTGAGTTTCTGGTCCCATACTTTTGATGAAGAGGGGGATGATTGCAGGGTCTTTCGAGAGCCAAGAGGACAACGTCGGCGCAAGGGCCGACAGAGTAAACACGTCCTGCACGCTGCCACAGTTGGGCCTCAACGACCCTCGTAGGAGTCCAAAATGTTTCGTTTTACTACTGGAACTGCCCATGCGTCCCTAGTGCCTACCCCACACCCCCAAATGATCACCACCTCGTCATCTCTTGAGAAGCGAAAGCTCGCTGGGCCACCGGTAGAAGGAGTTAAACCTTTCATGTAGACTGTAGATTCTTGATCAATAAGCCCTCCCATTTGGCTTGTGACCAATCAACAGTTTATTTACATTGCTCTCGGAAATCAACACCCGAAGCCAACACACGAAATCACCCAGAATCAAGGACTGGCCAACCAGTTGGGATCTTTAAAGTTGAAGAGTGTGTGATCAAAATGTGTGAAGATGTGTGAAGTATATACAGTAGAGTTTTGGATTTGTTTGATGCACCAAGCCATGTTGGAAGAATCCACAAGGTCCACTGGGGCCTCTGTGTGCAGGACTCCATGACGGCCTTCTGTAAGCCTCACCGCGCACTTAACCACTGATCCCAAGCCTTCTCCACGTGCGCACAGAGCTGAAGAAAAGGCTTGGGGTGATGAGGAATTGTTACGCATGAGAAAGACCGTTAAATGCTTAGTCTTGGCCCTTCTACGGTGCAAAATCATTTAGCAGTGATCGCGAAAGGTTCTGAGGCCCCATGCAAGGGTCAGGAGGGGAAGGCGCACAAGGAGTCGCTTTGGCCGCTTGGACGGCCAAGAAGGACAACAGCTACGGTGACTGGATCAATAAGGTGACTGTGTCACTTCAAGGATCAGAATTCTTGAAGCAAAACACCGATGCAGTGTAGTAGCAAGGATGTGGACTGGACTTTGTGGCAATTTGTGGCGTCTCCGGTCGTCCTCTCAAGAAAGTCCTCCAGTCCACCTCACCAACTCGAAACACTTGCTATGCACTCGCTTCTCCTGAAGAATGGGCATCATCACGTTGGTGCCACATCGCTCGGCCGCGCTCAAGATGCCCCCCATCATGCGATTCACGAACTCGGGCTCATTCTCGGGCGGTTGCGCGATGGAGCGATACATGGACCACTGCATGGCCAGGTTCGGCAGGTAGGGGTTGATCTGACCTCGGCTGTCCAGTCCCGGTCAGTTGATATCCAGAGGGTGTAACCTGTCCAGTGGTCTACAAGAAATGCCCTCTAAACCAAAAGGACAACAAGCAAATATGTGATATTATCTGGTTGGTCGTTTCCCTTTTCCGGAGAGTCTAAGTGACTTAAGTCCTCAGCTGTCAGCAGGTCCTGTTCCAAGGCTTCCGAGATCGCAGTCTCCAGGCGTGGCAGGTGTCGACACAACGCGCCGAATCCGCCGAAGGAGAGGGGCGATTGAATGCCGGCGGCATCGCCCACTTGCAGGATGCGGTCGAAAGGTGTTTGCAAGGGAGACTCTCGATAGGCCACGAAGCTCGCCTAGGTCGATAGGCGAAATGATGAACTCGACATCTGTGGACCCGGAACCGGGCCGGGAAGCCTGTTTTGGGCTGGGCCCTGGTCTGGAGTGCCCCAAAAAAAACAGAAGTGAAGGCAAAACCGAAAGAAAATGAAAGAAACCAGATGTCATGATGTCCGGTCGGGAACAACGAATATCCATGCCAGGCCACACAAAGGGCTCTCTGAACTTTCAACTGCTCCAGCGACACACCTTGATACTGAGGTAGAGCTTCGACATACTTCTCAAAGACCTTCGGGATGGAAGGCAGATCCTCTAAGCCTGGCAAACAATAGGTAAAGAAGTAGGTGGTCCGATCGCTGCCATCGGCCCCGCCGTTCGCAGATGGAAAGGCTTCCCAAAAGGCTTGGCCAATGGAGTCAGAAGAGCTGCCAGCAGAGCTGGGTTTTTGAGAGTACAAGTAGTCACCCCCTTTGTTGCCCTCCTGGCCAGGGTTGAACAGAATAAAAGGCTGAAACGAGCAGAATAATCCAGTCCATCCTGTCTGCATTCTCATAGATCGATACAAATGGAAACACTAGTGTTTGTTCCACATGTGGAATTGAATTCCGCCATGCCCGCACATGCACATCAACACAGCAACCCCTCCTTGGGATAACCACTTGCCATGGTCCCCACCACCAGGCAAGCTGCGTCTGGGGGCGCTCCCTTCCGCGCTTGTGCAACGATGGGTGACCCGGAGCCCATCGCATCTACAACCAGGCGCCCACGAATCGGTGGCAGATCCCCTTGCAATTGCAGGAGCACCTGGTCATCGTAGACCTCTGTTGCTTCAGGGAGAAAACTGAGCAAAAATGTCCAGAAAAAAAGAGAAGTCCTGTCATTGGCATTGGGTGTTCAAATAGAATCTCCTAAAACGCGGCCTATGCTGTCAACAGGAAGGTTGAGAATCTTAATCTTAGTGAAATTTGTCTTGTTTCTTGGCCTCGAAGCCTCTCCTAACAAAAACCCGGCGTCATCCAGGAGACGTGTTCTGGCCCTCAAGGAACAGTTCCCCAACGATTGAAGGGTTTGGCAATGGTTTGGCAGGATGGATGGAATTGTCCGTATTTGTCAGTGCATCCCATATGCAATGCGATAGTGGTATATAGTATATACCTTACCTCGAACAAACAAGGAAGTGGACAAACCATGACAAACCCTTGCTTTTGGAGTGCGTGGTCTTTCCATGTCTTTCCAGTGGCCATTTTCCACCAGAATTGTTAAAGGGAGGGTCTTCAGGTTAGCCACGTGCATGATTCCTTTACTATCGACAACCAACACCTGCCACCTGCCGCCGGTGGAACCAACCGAAAACATCCGAGAACCTTATGGACAGGAATGGGAATCGATGTCCGGCCGACTGAACTCCGCTTTTGATGGCAAGACATCCTTGGCATCAACAATGTCTCCGAACATCACAGCATCACAGCATCCCCCTTCAGTATACTGTATTAGGTGACCCAAAGCAAACCCAAAAACCTTTGCCTCGCCCCCCCCGCGAAACCACGCGGAATCCACGCCGCACGCGGAAGAAACCGCCGCACCTCCAAGGCTTGGAGACTCGCCTGTTCCAGCACCGTGCCGCCCTGCTCTTCGAAGCGTTGCCGGGCGAAGGCCACCAAGCGTCGGGGCGAGAGGCCGCCTTGGACGGACGGGTTGGGAGGCGGCCTCTCGATCACGGTCCAGACGGTCCAGAAAGGCTGGGTGTGCCCAAAAAAGAAGGCGCGTTTACCGGGGAGGAGCTGTTTCTGCAGCCTGAGTTGTTTGATGTGTTTGGGAAAGTGTTTCGGTGAGTTGGTTCATGTTGAATTGGTTCTCAGATCAAGAACAACAAAAAAATGTAAAAAGGACCTCTGAAAATGATCTGCTTGGCAATCCAAGGATGCAATTCAAGGCGCCTGCCTCAAAGTCCACTGCCGTCGAGCCCTCGAAGCCAACTCCTTAGTGGCATCAGGGAGCCACCAGGGATCCTTTAGGGATCCATGGATATTTCACCCCATCTGCTGGAAGAACTTTGAAGGGATTCCATTGAGCACCCTCATGGACCCTCACGGTGAAGTATGTCTTCAGGGTCCAACCCTGTGGGTCCAAGCCTTCAAGCAATGTCTTCGTTTCCAAACATTGGGTGGTTTAATGATGATTTAAGACTTTGGAACCGTCTCGCACCTGAGAAAGCTGCGCAGCACCTGAAAAGCTGCCGCACTTCTAAAGGACATGGCATTCAAACGATTGCCTCTACACTGTGGTTTCAAAAGAAGATGGCACAAACCAAGAAACATTATCTAAATTGGTAGACGATTGTTATTGAAATTTGTGCATGGGAGTCCGTTTACTTCCACCTATTGATTGCGGGACAAACATCCCCCCAAAAAAAACAAAACGCACATGCACTCCGAAGAAAAAAAACGAAATAACAAAAAATACCACAAAGGCTCGTGACTTGGGCCAGGAGGACTGGATCGATTGCTCCACCTCACAGGGTGCAGATCGATGGCTGAGGCCCACTTGTGGACTGGTGTGACACAAGGACTGGGGCCTTGGCTGTCTGCCTATGTGCACCAGGCTAACGTGACTCTAGACCGCCAGACTCCCCCTTCTAGCATTATATGGAAGAGCTTCCTTGAAGAAGCCGGAGCACTTCTGCGTCCGATCCGTAGTAGCTGCTTAAGCTTAATAGCTATTCCAGCAGCTATGCTGCCCTCCACCATGCTTTAAAACAAACCATCAGAAGAAAAAGAAACTGTAAGAAAAAATCACACACACACAACCAACCAACCAAAACAGACCTCCTTTTGACTCACAATCTGCTGCTTCACCAAGGGCTTCAACTCCTCAGGGCTCACATTCCATTCCTGGTCCCGCCCCTGCACCACACCCCGCTCCACGATGCACACTGAAAAGCCCCGGTTCTGAAGAGACCTGCCCGGAGCGACGCCGCGAAGCGAAAATCCCGGAAAAATGGTTCCGCACGCGTTAGGGATCTCGGTCGGCGTAATTATGTGGGTCGGTCGAGAAAAGAACGATCGAGTCCGATAGAATCAGAAAGACCTCGGTCTTGTCATGTTTTGTTTTAAAAATCCCTCTCATCAATGTGTTGTCTTCCTCAAAGAAGGTCACTTTGAGGAAGATGGCAAGCGGACTAGGACCTACAATTGAGTGGTTCGGAGTAAATCAGCCTCATTATGTCATTATCCTCTCCACAGGGTTTTGGGGGCTCAACTCCACTAGTCTTGTCTACATTCCTGGACCTCCAGGTGGGCAGGCATCTGCGCAAATTTAATCATTCATCCACAACCACAAGGGTATGAAACCTTGCCAAAGGTTAAGGCCTCTCATACACATATATATATAATTATATATATAATTATATATATACACATATGCTGCAAAAAATAAATGCGTACAACACCAAGAAACTCTTGAACTTGACATTGACATGGTCTTCAATTTGGCCCCCCTCGCCTTGCCACAAGGATTCCCAGCGTGCCACCACAAACCACCACATCATACACCTTCGCATCCGCGTTTTCCTTGTGCACCGGCGCCGTCACGTGGGAGCCGGAAGCTCTCCCTTCCAAGGGTCCGCAGAGTCTTTGGACCACCTGTGGCGGCTCCTCGAGCGTCTCGCCGCGCGTCTTCTGTAAGGCGCGAGACTTCAGCTTCTGCCAGACGGCCTCTGCACGATAGATACCTGAAGGATACGATACAAAATGATACAAATGTGTGTGTGTGTGTGTGTCCAAAATCCATGGAATCACTTGGGAGCCTTTTGGCTTGTTTCGGTACCTCTACCAGTTTGATGTGTATAACTGGTGTTGCGCCGATGTTCTGCATGCGTTCGGTACCCGGAAGGCTTGAGGGATGACTTACGGTCATGTCGCTGTTCAAAGAAGTTTTATCCAACAAGTGCCAGTTGTGTGGGGTGTCCATGAGTGCCCGTCTCCTTCACTGACTACCCGGAGTTTCCGCTAATTGCTGATTTATCTTAATTCAGAACTGACTCCCAAAATCACATCCAGAAATCTTCTCCAGCCTTCGATCGATGCATTTCCTCCCTTGCCAGGTGCTGCATGTCCTGCTCCGGAAGTGGTTCCGGGCGTCTCGAGGAAGGACCGCAGTTCAGAAGAGAGTTCCACCGGCGTGGACGCCGTGGAAGCTACCGGAGGCGCCACTGCAGGTGGTGCCGCCTGAGGATGGAGAGGTTGATGCAGCGGCACGGTGTGGAGAGATTATATAACCTGGAGTCCAAATCACATCAATTCCTACTGGATCTCTGCGGATGTTCAACTCGATACGATTCACTCGATGGCTGCACCCATTGGTTTGACAACCGCGCCTTCCGAGCAGCAAGCGCGCGGCGCTGGACACGAGAGCGGCGCAGCAAGGCGACGAAAGCAGAGCCAGAGAGGAGCATGACATGACCTGGAGTACGAGGATCCAAGCGCGGACAGGTGTCTTTCAGAGTGAGCAAATTCAAAGGTGAGATATACCATCAGGGTAACAACAAGATACCACAAGCAAAGGTCCACATGATCAACAACTCTCTTGGTTTGGGATTCCACATATTCGGATTCTACTCCCAGGATGATGCGAAAGCACTGTCTGGCTCCTCCACTCCGTCTTCAAGAGCGCTGGCTTGAAGGTATTGCTTTGAGGAAGCCGACACCAGCGGCTCCAAACCCGGCACATCGTTCAAAACCATGGCCAAGACCATCGAGACGAACACCCCTGACATCCCATATGAGGCCTCCCAGGTGGTAAAAGAAAAGAACAGCACCTGTGGTCCGTTCAACATTTTTGTGGCCACAACCGGCACCAAATGTCCCGTTCCCTGTCCCCCTCCCGTTCCGAGAGGTGTTCCGGTTTTGTCGCTCCAAACCCCTTTCGAAGGTTCCACCTTCGACTTGCGTGAGGCTTTGGCCAAATAAGGGCGGACAGTAAACCAACACACAAATCGATGTTGGACTGCTCAGCATCCATGTCTAGCGCCATGTCTAGCAGAAAGGAGGCGCCACCACTGGGGGGAAGGCGCCACTGAGCGACTGCTTGCGCTGGGTTCCCCCGCCCCCGCGCGATGGCACTCGGCCGTGAAGCTCCGAGCAGCTGGGGAACCTCGGAGGCGGAGGCTTGAGTTCGCCGACTCCGCCGGGGGAAGGAATGAGTCAGGCAATTCTTGATGTGAACCTACCTAATTACTTGTGAATAATGTAGATGTCAATCGGATACAACAAAAAAGGTCTCAAAGAAAAAAGGATGTGAGTGGTAAATCTCGAGAGAAAATTCAGGGGCTGAAGGGTGGCAAACACAAGAAAATGCAAAAGGTGTGATCAATATGAGCAGACTTGTTGCCATGGTGTACCCGTTTGTGCCATCTTGGCCAAATGCTGAGACTTGGGCGTGCTGGACACGTGTCGAGATGGATCCGGCCATGAATGCCCTTGAACCTGGTGCTGGCTAACTGATCAGCATCAGTTAGCATCAGATAGCATCAGGACCTCGAAATTCAAAAAAATACATGTGCCATGACATCAAAGAACATCCAACAACTGTTTTGGGTAGGGCAAACCTTTTCTCTTCGATTCTTCTGGTGCCCAGACTCCGCACGAAAGCGCTGGACCTCCGCATCGCTCCCAAACGGCTCCGTCGCACTCCACGGGCCGCGGGGGTCGAACGCCACCGACCGAGGCCCATTCCGCCGACCCCGTTGGACCCAGAACGTGAGCGTGAGCGAAACCGGGGGAATTCACACACATCCTCATCCTCCCAAAGAGGTTCTGTATCTTCTGACTGGGTAGGACATGAGTCATGACATGAGTTTCAAACCTCGAGCGCTGTGGCTGGCGGTTGTGCACCAAGGCCAACACATGTGCCCTGGCCTGTCGAAGCGGCGCTGTGGCTTGCATGGCCATGTCTCTCCAACTAAGGTGACTCGAAGGTTATTTGTACACACATGAAGAGTTTGGCAATGAGACGGAATGATGCGATCTGACCCACGTCCAGCATCTAGTTGCATCATTGCGATCTCAAGTCCTCGAAAATGACAAAAAACTTTGCGCAGCCAATAACCTCGAGCCAAATGACCATGAGAAATGCAAGTGTAGCTTCAAAATGGAGACCCCAACACCCAATGGTTGTTGAATGCTTTTTGACGACAGAACCTCCACCATCCTTCACCTTCATCAACCAAACTTTCCTTTTGGACATGCTGAAGTTCCTTGTAAAAGTGAAGAAACAGCTGGCAAAGCTAGCGGGTCCAAGAACATCTCGAATAAACCAGGGTGATTCGTCCTTGGAATCCTTAGTGCCTGCCTCCTGTTCAGGTGTGTGGATCCCAATGTAGGAGCAATCAGTTTTTTCGATGGGTCTTCCCTGCAGTCTGGAGATCCCTGGCTGTGTGTTTGGATTCAACGGGAGAACTCTTACCCCAGAAAATGAAGGGTCCTCCCAAGAAAAGCATCACGTACTCAGGTTAGCTCAGCTCAAGCTCGGGGGGCACCCACTGATTACACTGCGCAAATATCATATTCTCTTCAATTAATGATTCATTCAATCAATCCTTTACGTGAATTGGAAATGCGCCCCAATCTGTGTCTGTGGTGTCAACAGAAAGGTTGCACAGCTGAGAGGATTCAACATTAATTATACACATAATCTTATAATATCTTATATATGTTATGAGGTTTTGTGGCATGCAACATACTGTATAGATGATTCCACCTTCATGGAGAAGCCTTATGTCAGTGGCACACCTCCTTGACCCAGTGTCACTTCCTTTGCGAATTGCTAGTGGAATTCCTTTTACAAATGCATGTGCTTCAAACCACCAAGGCAGCACCCCAACATGCTCACCGCCTCTTTCTTCCCAGGTCCGGGTCTCGATCCGCCCGTTCGACCGTCAACGGTCCAATTGAACGCCGGATGGATCTGACACAACAAACAAGCGAAACAGTATGAATTCGCGAATGGAAGCAAGGATGGCTGTGCGTCTACAGGTTCACTTGATTTGATCTACAGTAAAATCTAAGGTTCATACTCCCCCATGTGGAAAGGTGTAGCCCTTCTCTGCTCTTGTTCATCCTTCATTCATGGCATCTCCATCGACCTGCGCCCGTCCAGCTGTTGCAAATTCCGATTCAAGTCGTGCAGACCGGGGCGAGTCCAACAGACTGGTGACCACGGAGGTCTCCCGGATGGTCTGCACGGATCCCCCGAAGGACGGATCCGCACGGATCGCTGTGCTGCCCCGTACGGATGGTCTCAACGTCTCAAGACCATGAACAACCCAACCACTCTTTGAGCTTCCCTTGGTTCGATCTGCTTCAACCAAACACACATGTTTGATTTTTGTGTCAAAAACACATGAAACGACAAATGAACGAAACATGATCAAACATGGACTCACATGGACGACCGTCCGTCCGGTCGCCGCAGATCTCCGGATCTCCCGCTCGAAACGGACGCCCGCGACCCGCCGCGGTCAGCCGCCCTGGGCGCAGCATCTCTAGACTCTAGGTGGTTTGTGGTAAAGACGAGGGAGATCTGGGAATTGGGGTGGTGATGAAGGTAAGGCCACCCAGTTTGGTGTTCAAAGTCCACCGTCGACGCCGAAGAATACTTCAATAAACTTCAAGGATCCAAAGAAGGCGACCGATCAAATATGACGGAAAACCAGCGACATACATGGAAAAACATGCACTCACGGCATGGGATCCATCAGATTTAGTATGTCTCAGCACGGACGATTCCGTCACACATCAACCCATGAAGTCAGTTGTATTATCAGCATTTCTCAGCCAGGCTAACCACCAGACCTATGTGCCGCAACGCCGGGAACCCGCCATCATACCTGGGAACGGTGGTTTCGAAAACTATGAGGCACCGTCGGTTCAAGTAAAGGTGTGACGTCGGGTTCCGCCAAACCTGGTGAGTGGAGAGATGTCCTTTCTGCCGCCGCCAAGTAAACGGACCCGCCACAGGTGGCTCATTGGTTACTGAAACGGACCCGCGAAGCCTCCGCCTGGTCCCTCACATGCGATCCCGGTTGTTTGGCGCGAGAAACCATGACCACAGTATAGTGTGTTCAGCCAGCTTGTACAAGCTCTCCTAACAACAACAACAACAACAACCACAAGAACAGGAGGAGGAGGAGAAGGAGGATCTGTGAGGAAGCGAGTATATTTACGACCCTGTTTTGCAAGACTCCAGCTGACAACAGAGACAGCAACTCTTATGGCAACTCTTTGACATGGGTAATAATAGATAACATACATGCATCACTCACCATGAAATGCTCGACTTTCTAGCTACTGGCATAGGTCCCCCTAAAGCACAATTCAACTAAATTCGGGATTTTCTCTATTGCGCCTCAGCAGCATCATCAGCAGCGTCACATTCTCTGCTCGGCGTCCTGCTGTTCGGCCGAACACAAGACACAACACACCCCTGTTCCTGCGGGGCTTCAACCATGTAGGGTTTGTCATGCATTGTTTCAGTGCACCAGTAGGGTCGAACACATCCTATGTTGCTCCTACGGCTCCCCTTGGGATTCATGGATTTGGCTGGTTGCCTGCAGGCCCTGCAGGCCCTCATAGTTATATATAGTTATCTCATTTATCTCCCAACAACTACCCAATATAACTGCTGGTGATGCAGGACATATCACCTTGCAATGATCAATGCTTCGAAGGGATGAAGAATCATAAAGCCTCCCAGAAAAACACATGTCAGGAAAGGTCCCCGTTTGTTCTTCACCGCCGCTTTCCAGCGTGGTATGGCCAGCCGTTCGTCATCCGCCGAAGCTGACCCTCCTCGCAGAACCCATATATAGAACCAGCAGGGTCACTGCCTTGGCATCTCTGCGCCAAGTCGGTCGACTTGGAAAAGCTTAGACATGAATTTGGGGATTGGTTGCCCAAACAAAACGCAACAAGGATCAGGTGATGCGAATCCAGCTGGCGTCTTTAGTTCAAGCACTTGCTATCCATGTGATGTATACAATACATGATGATTTGACATCATCCAGTACCATCACATCCTTTCACGAAACGGACTCCCAATTGGAAACCCAATGCGCCACGGGAGTCGGGCGGTTTTAAAGACACCGACCCAGCACCGAACAGCAGCACCTGGTCCGACCGAACAGCACCGTGTCCCACCGGGTGACCGGAATCAATGGCACCAACGTGAAGAGCAGCGTCCACTCGATGTACATTCGCCTGGCACCGATTCCGACTGACCGGCGGGAGGAGAGGCGTGGCGGAGGGCGTTATATAAGTGGCCGGAGACTTGAGGAAGGTGGCGTTCGTGCATGGCGCAGCAACTTCAAGAAGTCCAACACGGTGAGCTGTCATTCTTCTCATCTTTCGTGCTTTCTGAAACCAGAGACCGAAAGAGAGAGAGAGAGAGAGAAAAGGGTCCTGTGATGTTTTAAGGTTCCGTGTGTTTTTGGTGTAACGGCCATACAGATTTTTAGGTCAGGCTGCTCTCTTCATCACCGGTCAGCCACTCACCTCGTGGAAGTGTCGTTTCTCCATCGGTGTCCACGTGGGGTCCACCTGATCCCCCCCTCGGAGGCGCCTGCGATGGAGCTCGAGATTGGGTGCCTTTGTCGAGAAGTGAAGGAAGCTGGGGCGGATCTGGACGAAGTCCAAACAGGACTCATGACGGCTTTGTTTAGGTCGATTAGATATGATTTGATGAGATAAACATGTCTATCATCTTGAACTTGTCCTTGCGTTCAGCTCTTCACACAAACAGGATTGCTAGCAGCTCTTGGTGTCCCAACACCACATGTCCAACCAAAAAAACTTAAAAAACAAAAAAAACACATCTGAACGCTGTCTAACAACAGAAGTGGGTGATGAAAAAAAATTAAACAAGCTAAACAAGCTCAACAGCTAAACAAGTGGGTGGATGATGAAGCAAGCTAAACAGCTAAATGAACCAGTCGTTCCCTACACGGTACCCTCTGTCTCTCAGGTCTGGGCCTTGGGCATCGGATCTGACCGGTTAGAAAGAGACGGATGAAACCGTCGGGCGAAAGCGCCAAAAGAGAGGTGGGTTCTGACGTTGGAGGATTCTGTAGGTGTTCAGTCTTTGGTGTTCAGTTCTTCTCTTACTTTTTTGGATTTGTTGGGTTCTGATCAAAATTAGGACTCAAAAACCCATCGAAAGCCACAGGCTGGACGGCAGGTCATTGAGGATACAGTCCTGCCAAATTATCCAGCATGTTTAGCGTAAAGCTTGGCAAAAAAAAGGCAACGCAAAGAATGAATTAGTATATATATATATATATGATGCGGCTCCTCCACAAGATGTTGATACGCTGTCTGAAACAATTTCGGGATGCTTTCATGCGACTTCTCCCCAAACTAGAATGGCAATACGGCAACACAAAACATTTGGAACATTATCTTCCTTTACCAGTGTCCTCATGTGAGCTTGCTTAAGAGTAGCTTGATGGACCCTATGACTCTCAGACCGCCTGCCTGTAAGACTAGTCAATGCCAAGTATTCGTCCAAACCTGAGAGGAATTGAGAACAACGCAACCGCTGCGTGTGTCGACCGCGTTTAGTGTGTCGAACGCAACGCAGCTGAACTTTCCGAACCGACAAGGGACAAGCAGAAACCAAGACGATTCAAGAGTTCCCAACGGGGTGCTTGTTGGACAATTCACGAGAATAGAACTCCAAACACATCTATATAATATAAACAGTGATTCATGTCAAAGTGCTCACATGTGTGTGTTAAAAATCTAAATATCGTCTAGTTTCGCGTGGTCCAAGCTGATCCTGATGACCTCCCATCTCCGATCTGCGAGGGTCACCGTATTCGACACACCCCGCTGGGACGCCCCGGCTGTCGACTTGACCTGGCAGGTCAGTAGCATGGCATGAGGCGCCCTGAGGTGGATGAGGTGGTTGGGTAAAATGCAAGATGATAAAGGGTCTTGAGATAGGTGGATGAGGTGGATGAGGTGGATCTCGAGATATCTTGAGGGTCTTCTATATAACAGGACTGATGGATGTGGAAGGAACTTGAGGCGGCCTCTTTTCTGGTGTTTTTTTCCAGTGCTGTGGTGGTTGTGTCCTTTTTGTGGGGGATGATTTTGGAGGCTGAAGGTTGGTGGTGTATGTGAAAATGAAGCACCGCTAGGGCAAGGACACAGGCGTCTTTGAGAATTCTCCAACAGATTTGCTTCTCCATCCGAATCAAGCATAGAGCATGAACAGTTGGACCATGGCCAAGAAGATCAAGAAGGCAGTTGTAGCTACTGCACGCCACTGTCCCAACAAACACTTCTTGATCGTAACTCAACGTGATTATGTTTAACAATTAATCTGCAAGGTGCAGCTGCTCTCTCATGCTTTCTCTTTTCTTCCCCATTTGTTAGGCTTACAGCCACCGTCGCTTCACGACCAAACAACAAGGAAACGACTGCTGACCCCGACATTGATCAGGAACAAACATGGAAGACACATACATAATAAATATAACGACTATATACTTATACATACACAAAACCTGTTACATAAACTTCGACTTCGATGCCCACGTTCAACCTCGGAAGACGGTGCCGAGGTCCCGTGCCTTTCCAATGCAGATGCTCCAGGCTGGACTCAGACGATGGTGAATCCGAATCCCCCAGTCACCAGCCATGGGTCACAGGGTCTGTGCAGCAGTCGATGCTAAAGGTGGCCATCGTCCAAAAGCAAAGGAGACCTGGCAGTTTTAAGGTGCTTGTAGAGGTGATGTAGAACCAAAGTACCAGACGTGGGATGTGTGGACTGAGATCCGATCCTGATCGTCTTAAGTGCCAGGCATCGTGCAGTGGTCGCACGTGAGCTCCTGGGAAAGTGAACGAACCCCTGTGCTTACCAGGACTATGTTGGGCCCTATGACTCTACTGGGTTACTAGGCCCTATGGGCAGTTCGGATCACCCTGAGCAATGTCCATACTGGTCCGAACACCCAGGCACGGTAGGACATTTGCAAACCACAAAGAGCTGATGGAGTCAGTAAAGGACCTCCATCAGTGGACTTTTGACGATGCTGTGATGTTTCACTGGGCCTCCGTGAAAAGACCTGCGCATCCAACATCTGTCAACAGCAAAAGAACTCCCTTGCTCCAGAACAAGGTCGCAAAAGTCCACAACAAAATGGATTCCAAATACAATATACAATATTATTTAGTAATATGTAATTATTGCATTAATAAATATTTGACAAGATTTAATATTTAATATCAATGTATTCATTCCACCACCCGACAGTCCTGAAACAAGACCAATCAAGGTCAGCAAGATCAGCACGCCCATGGCTGCACAAAGACTTCCCCGCAGTCGGAGGCCCAATCTCAACTGGGCCGCATGCAGCTGCGATCCGGGAAAGCCACCCGAAAGAAGCAGCTGGAAAATCACACTACCAGGAGTTCAGGGTGCTTTTGGGGCAATATCCACTCACTTGAGACTTAAGAGATTTAAAACCAACCACTCCTTCCAAATTGCTGGTGCAGTAGCTGGGACAGGAAGAACCCAGTTCGGTCGCGAACACCGGTGCAGACTGTAACTCTACGATCGACACAGGAAATCAGGTGCAGGAGATTTCACGCGGACAAATACCCTTGTCCTCAGAAATGTATGTTCCTCCTCTACATGTTTGCACAGAAATCTAGCATACCATCAGGATCAATCATCTGAAGTTTCCCTCGCACATCCTCGAACATTCAGAAAAAGAGAAACCATTTCACTGGGCAGACACCATTCCCACCGCGTTGAGAAAAACCCTCCTTTCACCCAACTACGTTCTGTTTCAGAACGCCGACTAACAACAAACCTGCAAGAGAGTGAGTAAACAAACCACATGGCATATCCTGTCCGCCATGCCACGTGGCGATGTGTGAATCAAGTTACCCAAGGATTCTGTGTGAATCACCCGCAGTCACCAAGCCCTTGATGATCATCACCAGCAGGTCTCGACCGATGAATCGGATGATCATCGATCATATCTTCCTTTCGGATGTCTTCACCGGTCTTCATCCGACGGCTGCTTCGGCTCCGCTGCTTCTTTTGGCTCCGGCGGAGCGCCGCGGGACACGCGGTGTTCATCGGCCGGCGGAGGTGGGACATGTCTCAAGCGCGCCAACCAAGAGGTGCGGCGGGGTGACCGGGTGCTACAGTTTTGAATTCTGTTTTCATTCCAAGGAAGTGACCGCTGTTTGGAAAAGCAATGGCAATACCCTTGGGTATCATCCACACGGAGTCGGTCCCCTTTGGTAAAAATAGACTATAGACGTGGCCCCTTGGTTAAAGGGGGATTTCCATTGTTGGCCGTTGTTGTCTACCTTGTTCACTGAGATCAGAGTAGCTTGGAAAAGATCCTCACGGTGCTTCTGGATGGCCATGGATCTTTTTCCTTATCGTTTTGCCTTCTGGATAGGCATCCTTCTGGCCAAATGAGCATGCGAAGACTATGACTATACTGTACACTGTATACGTTTTATAATGTCTTTTTAAATAATTGAACAATAAAGACATATACTCTCTACTTCGCGACGAACCATCCTCGCTGCCTGGCGGTAGGAACCGCTATCCATTCTTCCTTGCAGGGTTTTGGGTGCCCAACGTCCACTGGTTCTCCCCACTCAAAGCTTTGCTCCCGAGAGATAGAACAAGGCCTGGCCGACGGGAAGGGCATTTCCTACGGCACAAATGGACACGGGTGGAGCTTGCGTGCCCCAGGCCCTGCGTTGCGGAGGGATGGATGCTGGTTCTCAGTTTGAACATGCCTGACATACAGAGTCTGATCAGCTTGCTTTTTGCTGGTTCATGAGATATGAACCTGCTTTGGAACTCAGGAGTTATGTTCTTCACTTGAAACCAACGAAACCGATAGAAACCGCAAAATGGACAGGTTTGTTCTCTGTTCTTCCTCTATGGAATGAACCTGTCACCCTTGTCTTTGGGCATCCAAATGATTACACAATGGAGATGCACGTTCATCAGATGAGGTGAATTCATGGACTTGTCAATGGCGATGTCGCTGTGGAGCAGAACCCCTTCGAGCTCAGCCCCAGAGAAACACGAGAGCCTGGAGAACAAAGCTCCCGCCCCCGACACCCCACCCCAACACCCCAAAAAAAACACCTCCAAATCCATCTAAATCCTATGGCCAAACAAGAAACAGCCTTCCATTCCCGCCCAAAACACCACCCTCAGCCGATCGAGATCGCGGCGTTTCGTTCTCAGAGCGCCTGCTTCAGGGCCTCCACCTCTTCAGCCCGGGCCTTCTGCCGAGCATCGAAGTTCTCCAAGGTGAAGTCGCAGGCTGAACGAGTCCGACGGGTCGACTTAGGGACGAAATCGTCCGACCCGCGGGTCGGTCCGCGGGTCGGTCCGCGGGTAGACCGAAACGGATCCGCCCACCGGTGTGGCATGTTCGGCCAATAAAAGACGCGTGGGTCGGGGAGACGGAACCCTGAAAATGCCAAAGAAGCAAGAGGCAGAGAGGCAGCGAGAGATCAAACGATTTGGACATTGAGGCCGGGACTCTCATGCAACTCCGCTTTGGTGCCCTCGAGGCTATCAAGGTCGTCTTTCGCACCTAGCTTCGGATGAGATAGGATGAGACGGATGAGAGGCCCCTTGAAAGAAAACGGATCTTGCTCCGTCACCGCGAGAAGGAGAGTGTTTTTCCAGGCCATGTCCAGCCATGTGCCCAACAGGCTGTCCATGTCCTGCCATGTCCAGCCAAGGTCTCTTTGAACCTCTCCTGTGGACTTTCCACTGGAGAGTGGGTCCTTTGTTGGTTGGACCATCAACATCATCTACTGTCCACCCCTTCACCTGTCCATACACAGAGGTTCTCACTGCCCGGGTGCTTCTACCAGGTGATGTGTGCTTGGTTGGGAGATGTGAAGAGGGAATATCTGATTTTGTAAGTGCCTTGAAGCCATATATGATGCCTTTTGGGACCACCACGAGGCATGCAAAATGGGTTCTTCAATGATCGTTCTATACACCGTATAATTATGCTCTTTCACACTGCTGTCCGAGGAACCTTTTCGGCTAATCTTCGTTTCCAACAGCTTCTCCTCCGCTTTGGCCTTCTTCTCCTCCTTCAGTTCAAGCTTCCAAGGACAGAAACTAGCTTACATTCGATTCCAGAAACTAGCTCGCACCCAAGTGATTGCAAGCTTCTTCCAGATCTGCGCTGTGTTCTGCTCGGGTCTTCGTGCTCCAAATCGTGCCATTCAAAGCACTGAGAAGACAGGATTGCGCCTCGTTGGTTGGGCATTAAACCAAACAAATAAGCTGAGCACTTCTTGGACTCCATTCTTGATTCCGCACACTACAGTACCGGCTGTTGTAAAGGTTGCACAGCACACGTTCTCTTCATACGGCGCCTTGTCGGCCATGCTTTTGGCCTTCTTCTCCAAGGTTCGGATGGCCTCCTTTCCGAAGGCCTTGGGCCGTGAGTCTGATCAGTGCGAATTACCTTTACCGGTCTATAGAATGTAATTCCGTGACGGTCAGTTTGACGTACAGCCGTACAGCGTCTGTGCGCTGTGTTCTGTCGATGGATGACTATAGTATAGTGACTATGGTCATCTGTTGCTTGGGGAGGCAACGCACTCAGGAACTTGAGACTGGACCAACCGCAAAAGAGGTCTTCTTCGAAGGAGTTTTCCACAGCGAGTGAGCCGTGTCTATCACTTTGCAGCTATCCAGTGGCTCCTGTTCTTGCGGCTCAGATGCTCAGCCACTTTAAGAAAATATCAAATCACTGATGAAGGAAAAACAAAACGTAACATGGCGTAACTGCCTTACAGGCAAAACAGGAGTCATGATATGCCAGCATAGCCCCATGAAAACGTCATGTTCACTGAGGGCTTGCCCTTTTCATTATGCATCACCAAATGCAACCCAAACAAAGACCGTCAAGAAATAGGAATCTGCTGGAGGCATATGGGAAATACATCCAGAGAAATTCTTTTCACGTCAGCAGGAAGCGAAATGAAACTTCCTGACACATCCTCCGGGGAAGTGATTGCTCCGATTGTCATTCTCCCACAAACCCGCCGACTGACATTGATGCATGACATGCCTTTTACCATCGTCTAGTCTTGGGTAAACACTGGTACCTTCAGAAACCACCTACAACTTTGAGCTTTTGGGCTTTCCCAAATTCCATGCGCCCTCCAGGCCTCATAGTCTGCTTGAGACTCGGCCTCAGCGGCAGTGGTCTCCTTTTCCATCTCCTGCGTCGTTGGTACGTCCCGCCTTTCGCAGCATCCCTTGGGGTCGAGTAGAGCTGAGCGTTCCCGGTTTGTTTGGCCTTCCGACCTCGTGTCCTGTTCTACTTCGCTACAGCTCAGCGGAAGAGAGAAAACGAACCCTTCATTCCCCAGCTGACTTTGGGTCTGTGACATGGTTGGTCATGATTGGGACAAAATCAAGACCCCGCAGAGGATTCCCCCAGGTCCCCTGCTTGTCTTCAACAGATGGTGTGGGTGCGTATCGCACTTGGATGCACTTGGCAGGGTTTTGATTACTACCCTAGTGCCCTGCCATTCTGGCTTTTACAAAGGAGAGATCAAATACTCCAGGTTCTTTGAACCCACAGCCATCAGAGGTGGAACATGTGTTCTGCGATTATCATTTTCCTCTACAAATAGCTGCTTCCACTTCCGGTGTGTCTTGGCTTTCACAGGTTCTCACAAAACAACGCTCGGCTCCATTTCTCCAGCTCCCCGTCGGCCGGGCGGAAGGAGGTCCGTGGCCGGTCCGTGGCCTTCGCCTCAGCCACGAGCTGCTGCAGCATCATCATGACGCCGTTGTTGCCTTCAGGGCGGTGTGAAACAAATCAACTGGAGCAGAGGTCCTCCTCTACGACCCGTACTTGCTCCAACCATCTCCAACCAAAAGCTTGGTAAATGAAACGGTGAGAGGGCCCATTTTTGCATATGTTTGCTCATTGATCCAATGCCTGGCTGCCATACTGTATCTATCCATCCGAATCGACGGACCAACATCCACGGCTTCTGCCCAGCGGCTGCTGCTCTTCTTGTAGCTCCCAAAGGTCTTTGGCTCATCCGGCCCCTGGTGAGGTGGACCCTGGGCACCACTGGGTATGCTAGTCCAATCAAACCCATGACACACATCAATCCCAACTCGTTCTTCCAAATATATCCAATCTGTTGATCTGAGAATTCATGTGCGCTGTTGCAAGTCTACGATGTAGTGGCAATGGAATGGACTTCCATCGTGCCAGAACAGGGGCATTTCACCAACAGAGTGGCCATTCACCAAGAGCAGTGGCCCTGAAAGAGAACCTCAAGCGGCTGCGACCGGAACTCGCATGCTCCCACAGGTCCTGGACGGATGCCTTCTGCAAAAAGGACTCCGGTTGCTTGTTGTAGAAGTCTCCCAAAATACCCAAGGCCTGGATCGCCACAGGAAGTGGAAGTCAACCTGATTCAATCTTTGATCAAGCCAAGTAATTATGTGGCTCTCCAAACCGAAGCAATCCAGTCACTCAGGATCACTCAGGGCAGACGTTGTCAACATTGTCCCCTGCCTTCTTCAGCAAGTCTTGAGTCGTTCTCTGCTCTTGGACGATTTTTTGGAACTCCGAGTTCTCCTCGCAAGCAAAGCAAAGCTAGGATATAGAGCCACAGTTTCGTTTATATAGCTGCATCTGTATCTGGCAAATCTGAAAGCTACTGGCTACTAATATCCTCTGGAACTCTAATCACAGCTCCTCTGGAAAGTCTATCCGGCTCGAAGGTTACAAGATACCGTTGCTGGGTGAGCCCCTTTTTTTTCTCCAGCCGCTGTATCATGCTCCACGGCCATGCGCAGAGCTCGGTCAACGGCACCTGCAACGGTCCCGGGCGACGCTACCGTGGTCCGTCACCCGTGATCTGTCGCCGCTTCAGTCGAGACTGGGGTGGGCCATCCAAAGCCATGC